TTTGGCCCACCGTTTGGCCCCATAGGCGCTGGGCCCAAGGTTTGGCCACATGAATACACACGCACATTCACGTATTCGTGTCTTCGTGTCGCGGTCAAGATGGTGTTCTATCTGTCGCGTCCAGGTACATTATTTTCAGAGCTGCCAAGTCGGGTGTCGCCTCCGCAGGATACAAACGTTACGCACACGGTTGGTGGAGAATGGAAAATCTGCAGCTCCAATTATATCAGGCAGTCTCCCAATCCCCAGGGGATGAAGAGGCGATATCAGGATGACGACAAGCAGGAGGAGCGATCTCCAGACGCCCCCCCGCGGCTGCATAGAAGACGACAGACATAGCTGTTCACACTCAGCGATGGTGAAGCGAAAAGCGATGCCCGAACGCTGGGCTTTTCATTAAGGAAGGACGATGGTGCTTTAGACAACTAGATTACGACACGGACTACCGTTTTGCGGACCTGTTGCGACTCTGCTCTCCCCCCCTCCATCTTGCTCATCTTGCTTCTCATACTTCTGCTGACCCTCCTCGTTCTCACGCTTCTCGTTTTCATAATCATGTCCATGATCGTTATCATGACAACGAGTCTCGTCTTCTCTCCTCCTCTTCCTCCTCCCCCTCCTCCACCTCCTCCGCCTCCACCTTGCGCTCCTTCTCGTCCTTCAACTTCTGTCCCTTGTCCTCCTCACTCTCACTATTGGTCGTCCGCCTCTCCCCTCCTCATCATCCCCCTCATCCCATCCCGACGTCAATAGCGACGACGACGACGACCGTAACGACGGCGACGGCGGCGGCGACGTTTACGACACGCGGCCAGAACGGCTGCGAGGGCGGTGGAGCGCTGGGCGGCCATTGCGTCCGAAGCGCTTCTTGGGCTCCCGTGGTGCGGCGACTGGGACTCCGCTCCAGCGGCGTTGGGCCAGGGCTGCTGCGCGAGTGCGGAGAGGGGGAGGGAGGGAAGACGGGAGATAGAAATAAGAAAGAGAGTCGAGGTTTTGAACGTATGTGTTGCTTTTTGGGCCTCTGGAGGCCGATGAGGACGTCGGCATACCTCCAGAGACGGATCGAAGGGACTCCATGAAGCAAGAGCGGCAAACCCGACATCTCCGAAACACAGGGGCCATGAGGTTCCTTGGTTGCCTGCTGTCTGGGCTCGGTTCCCGTTGCCAGAAGCACTCACTGGCTCGCTGGAACCTCAAAGACTGCTGCCCACCAGCAGTCTCACGAAGAATCGCACACTGCCAGTCGAGCCTCCAGCTTCAGGAGCCCTCCAATCGCAGGACACTGAGACCAAGAGTAGCGGCGAAACTGGAGGGAAGGATGGAGGCAAGAGAGGGGGAGGCGAGAAGGACCAGGGAGAGGGCATGAGGGAAGGAAAGAGATCCAGGCAATCTGACTTCGCGCGTCGCGCCCCGCGATGCGCGACGCGCGGCGTCTGACTACCTACCAGACCACCCCAACACAACCCGAAGATCCCAATTTCGGGTTGGGGGGATACGGGCTTCAGATGTGTTTTTTCAATGTTCCCAGGCCCCCCCACACTGGAAACGGAGGGCAAATCGGAGCCTTCGGGTCGGGTTGGGTTGGGGTGGTTTGGTGGGCGGCGAGCGTCTTCGCACCCTCGCGAGGCCACCTTGGAGAAGGGCAGCTCTCCGACCCATGCCGCGACGCGCGAAGCGCGATCATCCTCACGCCCGGGGGGGCCCAAGAAGATGGAAGACCTCTACTCCGAGCACCGCTCCGGGTCCTCCGAGGTTTCTGGAGATATCTGGAAGTCCCCGAACAGTCTCCAGAGGCCTCTGAAGGCATCCAGGAATCCGAAAAACCTCCATCGCGCTCCTCGAGCCCGACCTCGATCCTCGATCCTCCTTGGAAAGTCAATGATTTTGGCATCCTTGGGCGTCTTGGTGCGGTCGTTGGGCGTCTCGGGCCTCATTGAGACAGTCTTGGGGACCTCCTGGGGATCTCTTGGCCCGTCCTGGGGGCCTCTTGGGCCCCGAGAAGTCTTGCGACAAGATGCGCTGGAGCCCAGGGGGTACGCGGCGAGCCCTAAAAGATTTGGCAATTTCGCGTCCGGGCCCCTTAAAAAATCAACGGCCCCCAAGAGGCCCCCGAGAGGCCACCCGCGACATCCCAACGAACATCCTAGGATGCCTATAACCCACAACCTAACCACGGTGGCAAGATGGGCCAGAGGACAGAAACGGAAAGAGCGCGTCAGAAACAGAAACCGACATTACCCACCCCACCGTTCGTACCGGGAGCCTTGGCGTTGAGAGCTTGTTACGTCACCCCTCGCTCTTGAATCTTGGGAGCCCTGGTGTTCGGAGATTGTTGCGTTGCCGCCCGTTCCTGAGCCGTGGCTGGGCCTTGGTGTCAGGAACTTGTTACGTCACCGCTCTCTGCTGGGAGCCTTGGTCTTATCAACTTGTTTACGTCACCGTTCGCTCTTGGGAGCCTTGGTGTGAAGAGCTTTTGGCGTTACCGATCGCTCTCTATTTGGCGTCTCTGGGCCTTCTTGGGAGTCCTATTGGGGCCCTTTTGGAGGCCTCTTGGGAACCTCTTGGGGGCCTCTGGGGGCCTCTTGGGGGGCTCTGGGGGCCTCCTGGGAGCTACTTGGGGCGAAAGGCTAGACTTTTCGGTTCGTGGTCCCCCTCTTAGGGCCGTCTTTGGGCCCTCTTGGGCCGTCTTGGG